GGTAGGTAAGCAAATGAAAGTGTATATTTGGAGGGAATAAAATATTTTGTATTTAATATTACAGGTTCTGCATCACTTGTTTAAAATCATTGATATTATTGGTTCAAACAAAACTGATCCTAAAAAGATGTTTGACTTAAAACTGTTCCTGGAGGATAAAAAAGAGTTGGGCAAATGATGTAAAATTCTGATTGTTCCAATGCCTTAACAGTATGAAAATAGTAATAGACTAATTCTTGATCAATTAAATTAGTTTCTGGCATTTCTGATACTGTTGATCAGGGTCCTGATGTTTTGAAGCACTGAGCACCTATAATTGAAGTCAGCCTCTGCAAACCAGCCCCTTAAACACATGGTTTTAAAGTTGATATCACTGCCTAGGATGCCCAGGATGATTGTGAGGTCAGGATGAGCCTATTGAATTACTAAAAGAAAATGATCTGAGTCAGATTTAACCAAATGACCCTGAGGCTGAAAGATGTAGGGTGCTGATTCATTCACTAGCTTTTTTTTTCATGTTGTGTACTCTGGTAGTTTGTTGGTTTGATTTTGGGGGGGGTGGGGTTGGTTGCCTTTTAACAGACAAATAATTGTCTCCTAAGTCCAGGAAATAACTTATAATAGGTCTCCTTTTATTATCAGTCACTTTAGCTGACAAATTATTTGTGCTACTCTACTGGCTTTTTCTTATTCTTACAGGTTTCTACTTGTGTATTTGTATATTCTACAGCGTATTTTATGGCAGTTTAACTAAAAATCTCTTGACTGACTTGATAGCACAAAGCAGTGTATAAAATCTAACACTCTGATGTTGCTGACCAAAGTCATTTGAGAGACAACCTAACCATCTCTAGACTTAAATAAATGCAAGGATTTAACTATGAAAAATGTGGAATTACCTTCCCTCATATTCATGAACTAGAATACGATCCCTGTGGTGTCTCATAAACTGTGAAATAGTGTTATTTAGAGTGAGTCCAAAATATATGGCCATTAAATTATTTTATCTTAATAATTTTACTGGCAGTATCTTGCAAAGTTCTAGAAATGCCAGCAAATGTCTGAAAGTCAGTATCCTTGCTCATTGGCATTTGCTGTTGTTTCTGAAGTTATAGGTACAGAAATAAGTTACTGCGAGGTAACCTAAGGTGTGAACTTGCATGTCAGATACTCTGTGGTAACTGCTGATATTCACACTTACCTGCAGTAAATGTAAGATAGTTTACAGTACTTTCATTGAAGGGTGAGAATTTGCATATGAGCGGTTACCATCAATACAGTGCATAATTTAATTGCATCTGATCATTGCAGTTTGACACCATTTTGATGTTCCTTCAAATTTTTGCACTTGAATTTCACATTTGCTTGCCTAACTAACATTTTCATGTGCCCATACCCTGAGATCTGATTTCTTATCTTGATCTTATGGTTGGAAATAGTTTGTAGTACATAAAGGGATGCTGCTACTGCTTTACAGGAAATCTGAATCTTGCATGTGGCTATGGCACATGTTTGCTAGATAAGCTTAAACCAGTGGTCTCAACATTTTTTGAACCACAAGGTGGCCACTAACTCTCAACATTTTGCAGAGACCTCGTCATGCAAACTTGCCATCAAAGTTCTAATTCAAACCACTGTGGAGGCATGCCCGGCCTGGTGCTATCCAGGGCCAAGTTATAGACCACCTGCCATGGCCTCCTGGACCACACCATGGGAATCAGTGCCTTAGACAACATAATTAGGACCAGTTCTTGCAACATGGCTTTTGATTTTTTGTGAGAGCAGAACTTTGTGTCAATTTTTCCATCATCAAATTAGGGCTGTCCCTGGGTGGTTTGAGACTTTAGTCTTTGGAAAGTACTATAGAATTGAAAACTAACATGCCAAAAAAATCTTTTTCATTCCATTTCATTGTTTGTCTAAATATTTGTCTTGCCCATTGTGAACTTCATTTGGTTTTTTAGAGCAGCGTTTCCCAACCTTTTTCACCCCACAGCACACTTACCTAATAAAAAAGCACCGCAGGACACCGGATGGGCGGGGGG